GAGGATCTATCAGGATTACATTATAATAGATTTAAGGACAGAATCAAGAGGAATCAATCTCGTATTAAATGGCCCAAGAAGAGGATCTATCAGGATTACATTATAATAGATTTAAGGACAGAATCAAGAGGAATCAATCTCGTATTCTTCTGCCCAAGAAGAGGACATCAGACAGGCACCCCTCAGGGGGTTTTGGAGGGGGTAGTTTTTCTATTGAGACTTTTAAACACATGCTGAAAGTATTGCTTTTGAGATCAGCTAGTGTTAGCAAGGTGCTGAAAGCAATTAATTGGTCAAAGACACCAGATTCATAGCTACAGTAGCACATTCAGCCATAACAAAAGACTTCAGTAATGCAAAAGATAGGTGGGCATTGGCCAGGAAAGATGGGAGACAGCTCTCTTTAGTCATTCTGAAGAAGGTACTGTGTGTGTTTGTGAAAGAAGTTGAATGCAAATGACAAATCTAGAGGAGGAGTATCTATTTATAGGACCATTAGTACTAACTGAGTAACTAGAATGATTTATATGCTGAAATATGAGTTTTGCTTCATAGCTCAAATTTTGCATTCATGCATAATATATATGTATTAAATCCTTTAGATTTGAATTTTCCCTTGATGTCTGTGATCTTTTAACATGGATAAATAAATGATTTATCCAAACTTGGCAAAGTTTTATTGTCAGGTCTATTTATTAAGTGAGATCCTGTGAGTTGCTTTTTCATCAAAGTGTTGGCTTCCTGTCCTCTTCTAAGAATATGCAGCTAATTTGTTTTGGCAGTGGAGCTGATGCACCTGCTATTTTTTTTTGTCCAATAAGATTTCTCTAAACATTTTTTAAATCTATGAAAAGAAAGCAACAACCAGCTTTGTTAAGACTTTTTGAGTTCAAGCATGGCCAAAGAAAGTTAGAACAATGACATTTAATATTTTTCCAGCACGAAAGGATTTTCTTTTTTTCCTCTACATAATGTATTATTTTCATATACATTATATTTAATAAAATGTACTGATACAGAAAAAAGGAAAGTGTGAGCTTAGTACTATTTACATATTTTAATTCAGACATTTCCAACAACATTGAAAAATAAAAACTTAAATGATTTTTTATTGTGTTTTCAACCAGTCAGTGCTAAATAACTGCATGCCTGTTAAGTTAAACTTACTCTAAAACTTGGTCAGTTTAAAGTTTCTAACTAAAGTGTGTTTCTCTGGTCAAAAAAATACATAAGTATGTCATTTCTGATACAAAATTCTACACTATCTTCAATAAATAAATAGTAAACCAATTCTTAAAAGTATGAAATGTAAACTTTGTTGTTTCTCCAACATACAGGATTTTTAAAAAAATGACTGCTGAAAATAATACAGTGGCCTCCTTGGAAATAATACACAAACAGTTTCAAGCACAATTTACATTTATCACCAGACCTTATATACCTATCAAGTATAAAGCTATCCTAATTTCCTAATGGAAATAATAAAGGTTTGCTGTGCTAAAGAACACTCATCTCCACAGAAAACATGGAAACTAGTACCAAAACAACATGCAAAGAACAGCAAAGCCAACACAACTCACGAGAACATTGACGTGCTAACAAAACCATCAACACCTCCCATTCTGAAAATCTACAAAAATCCCCATTTAAGCATGATCCTTGGGTATCAAACGGAATAACTTAAAACAGAGAGAGAATGCACTTGTACTGAAATAAAATACTTTCCAAATTCTGTCAATGTGTCAAGTTCATCCAAGTTCTTAAGTCATAGTCTTTTGTTCAAATGATTTCCAAGCACCCTGCTGAATCAAGGCTTTCCTATTTGAATTGCAGTACATCAGTGAATCTTTACATTTGCAGGATAGCAACAGGTTCCTTTGATTGAGATCACTCGCTTTGCAGTCTTAGCACATCCAATGTTTGAAAGGGGTAAATCTGCAACTAATATTCTTGATGAGCTATAATATATTGCCTATGTAATTTCAAAATGATTGTATCAATTCATTTGACTGAGGCACAATGCAGTGTAATAAACTCTCCTAATATTTTGGCCTTGTCTTCATGGAGAGTAACAGCTTTTGTGGACTAGAGCAACTTTTCCTTGTCATTAGGTTAATCCCCATTTTAAATTACTGCATCTGGGCCAGCAGTTTTAGTTGTTAAATCTACAAAATATCTGCTTAACAAATACTATGAAAAAGCAGCCTTCAGCTCAGCTCTTGAAAACATTCAAGGCTACAGGTACCTGTCACTTCAACATTTCTTTCTTTCCTCTTGGTTTTTGAAAACATTCAAATATCATGAACTTCCTAAAAGAAATCCAAATATCTTACATGGCAAGAATGCATTCATGTTATAGATATTTTTTATATAAATATATTCACAATTTGTTTATATACTACTCTGAGGGGCAATAGGCACAACACGTCTAGGGGAAATCATGAGAAAGTCCAAAAAGTCATATTAGGACACCCTCTCGACACAGCATGCTGCAGGAACCAGAAAAAGTGCAATGTTTTCTCTACCTTGTCAGAGCACAGACTAAGCTCTGTTATTCTAGAAATTCTGAATACTGCAGCAGAAGTTCCACAGAAAACAGAACAAAAATAAAATGAAAATATTTTTCTCACAATTTGGAATTCAGTATTCTCAGAAATTAATCTGACTATTAAGAGTTGTGTCATAATATCTGCAGGGCAAATTATTTATCACTTATAAAAGAACTGAGCTATTTTGTAGAAACCTCTCATGTTCTTTTTAAGGCTCATCAAACAGCTGCAGATCAAGTCGGACAACTATTTCTCCTGTTGGGACTTCATGCAGGAGAAGACACTTTGTAACTGGTCCCTTTGAGCCCTGGTCTTTCTTAATATCAGCCACACGGATTTCTGTTCGACCTAAGAAATCTGAAATAGGAAATGTACATGATTATAACGAATGTGAATATTGGGATCAAGCTGAAAAACAGAAGCATACCTTGTGTATAGTATATATTTTATTTCTAGGAAAATGCCACAAAACAAGGAACTCTGTGCATGAACGTAGACCAGGTAATTTCCCTTTCAGATGCAACTATTGGAATTGTCTTATTTGCTGCATTGGAAGATCCTTGCTATTCAAGAGTGTATTTTCAATTATTGTCAAGGAGTGCTGTAAGAATGAGACATTTGAAAACCACCCATCCATGCACACTGTCATATGAACACAGCCCCACTGACTATATAGGCTTAGAAGAGCTGCTCTGAACACAAAACTAAGCTGAAAAATTAGAGGTGCCACTTACCATCAGGAGAGAATTGATCTCTCTCAAACACTGTTATGCACAGCACGTCCTGTTCCAAATCTTTGATAAAAAACTGACAGTTAGAATTCCACTTTGGATTGAGAGTGTCCTGTATGGTCTTGGTGATATGACACTGTGAGCCCATCGTCACTTCACAATATGGGTTACTCTTTCCTAATAAGAGAATTCAGATAGATGGCATAGCACTGATTACATATTTGCATCCATTAATTTATTAATTTAGTTCTATTCTTTTCACAAGACTCAGAAGAGTCTGTCATACATCATCATTTGTGTTTAAACAAGAACAATTTATCTGGCTGTTTGAGTGTATGAATGCTGTAAAATGAATCTGGCATCATTCAAAGTTAATCATGTTATGTGCAACTCGCCACTTGCAAGCCACATATTAACTAACCACTAGTATTAAACCCAAATGGCCCAGGCAGTGAATTCATTCCTTTCCCTGGAGATGGGAGGAAGCAGGAATCAATAAAACTTCACCTTATCTGTCTGCCTGAAATTGCCAAAAATAGATGGGCTGACCTGTGAAACATATGAAAGCTACTAACATTATTTAAAACTATACAGGCTGTGCTAGTCTAGGTAGGTAAAGATAAAGGTAAAGATGCTCTCACTCAAGCTCAGCTCCTGGTAAGTACATGGACACATGCAGAATCAGAATCAGGCAACAGCATGGAAGTGGTTTCCCACTGCTGCCTTCTAGATTTTTTTGTTTTAACTTCCAGTCTAGTGTTCCCTTGTGGTCAAGACACTGATTCAAATGACACTGTTAAAACATTGTATTTTTTCTGACAAATGGTTTTACATTAAGCAGATTAAATAACCCTAAGTGGTGCCTTCTGTCACACTGTGAAAAAAAAAAAAGAACAAATAATGTTCTTACCATGAGATCTGCAGGGCTTCAGTTCAATACCTTCAACAATGTTCACCATTAACCTTCCAATACCTGTTGCCCTTTGGGATCGGACTGTGGCAAGAACAGGCAAGATTCATTATAATATTCTTCTGTTATTTTGGGGAAAACTTAAAACTGTACCCCCAGTGCAGTACCTAAGTATGCTTTTTCCCTCTTCTTCTTCTCTGTTTCTATGTAAAGTTCAGAAGCAGCTTTGATTTTCTGAACCCAAGCTGTCCTTCAGAAAGAGAAGGTGGAAACAAAGTTACCCATTGTTATAAAGGGCATCAGGTAAGCAAATCTGATTGCATGGAAGCATGAACCTATTTTAGCTCTAATTCTTAAGGCCAAACTGGGTGAGATATGAAGGATCTGTGCACAAGGTCTTCTCCATGAAAAATAAATGACAATAGAGTGGGTTGACAATGCAGGGAGATGAGGGTCTTTTCCATCTTTTTGTGCTTCTTTTCTCAATTAAAACTACTTTCTGACCAAAGTTGTTACTGAGCATATAAGCATAAAAACATAGTTGCTGTGAAATCAAAAATGGGAAAATGGAAAGTTAAGTGTTAATAACACTGGATGCTAGAAGACAATGAAACAAAGTATCTGTTGCATGTTTGTGTGATAGAACAAAAAAGAGAACATTCAAAGTCCAGTAATGTTCAGTGCTAATACAATGGCGTTTTACCTTTCATTTATACTTTCTGCACGAAGTGTGTAGACTCGATCAATATGTGAGATATGGAAGATGGGCTCATCCCCAGAAGGATCCGTAGGCAGTTTTACCAAAACCTCATTTAGAAATATAGGCTGCAGAAATATTAGGCAACATTCAGTTTAACCAATTTGGAATGAAAGCCTTACAACAGATGTTAAGCTTAGCATACAACTGACTGGTATGCTGCTGAGTAGATATTACTTTTTCTTTTCATACAAAATATTTGCCATGTATCCACTCCAATCTAGATTTATTGTGTATCCACAGGCCGTAACTACATTATTTGCAAACATATTCAGAGTTTTTTTTTTTAAAGAAGTCCGCCATCCACTGGGAAAAGAATTCAGCATATTTGCAAAGATGCATTTGGTCCTTCTTTCCATAAAGGCTGTGTACTGATCTGCTCAAGACAGTAGCAACATGGGCAATACAATACCTGGAATATTATCACTTATATCTGAAATATAGTTATTATAGTATCACTTCTAGTCCAATGCTACAAATATTGTCAAGAACATGGGCATTAAACCAAAGAATACCCAAATTTTGTATAAGAACTGGGGTGCTTTTCCCATGCCAAGCTTGGGATCAGCATAAACAGTATGCCCAGAACACAGGAAAAAAGGCCTCTACGACCAGCAACAGCCTCAGAAACATCCAAAACGCTTTGTTGGTAGTGTGAGACGCTGCCAGGCATAGAACCTCAGCAACCATACACATTCATCAGTGTCACTATCCTCATGCACTGAGCAGAGATTTGGCCTCAGTAGTTTAAATGGCCCCTTCTCATTGTATGACTCTGTGATACTCACAGATGATATGTCCCATAAAACAATTTATATCTACAAAGTTTAAATCTGTATGCTTAACCAACATGTTCATTTTTTCAGATTTAGCATTAGGTCAGTGATGGCCATGAAATTGTTTTCCAGAGACCATGCCATATATTTTGTGGGAAACAACTTTAGATGTTTATAATACTGTATTTTTCCATGTATAAGATGATACATTTTTCTAAAATTGTTACACTAAAAATTGAAGGTCGTCTTATGCAAGGAAGTAAGCCGCGGATTAGCATTTCCATCAGAAA